GTTAGGATACACCGCGCTATTTCTAGAGTAGGAGCTGGGATAAGGAAGTATCAGAAGTTAAATTTATCTTCATGTTAAAGTAAGAAGAGTAAAAAAATAAAGTTGGCATGCCCTGCCCATCACAAGCAGGCACTGCTTCCTTACTGTGACAATGTTTTTTCCTCTCATGCTTACATGTGCCGTAAGGGAGAAATGTTGATGAATTTTGGTTATAAGTGTGGTCTCTTAATTATACTTCCACCAGTTCGAAACAGAAAGGCAAGTATATAATATTTGCTTCTGAATTTCAGAGAGGAAAATTATGATGGTTAAGAGCTAACTTCCATGTCTCCTTTTACTGAGAGATATGATCAAGACAACAATTCCATGTGAAAAAATGCTGTTAACTCATGTATCTAAAAAGTGCCAAGATTTAAAATATACATGTCTACTACATGACTGAATTTTGGTGTTACCACCTCTTTTCAAGTCTAGGCCCAGGACAAATATCAGTTCCAGGCCTTTAGTCAAATTAACAGAATGGGCATGATTACTTTGAAAGGCACAGCAAAGCAATGGAAAGTGGCACAGTGGGAACACAGCACCAGCTCCTGCTCTGAGCTTTGAACCCTACATTACCAGCTCTTTCTGGTGCCATTGGACATTGCCCATCCCTAGTGAGTGCTGTGTATTACACACCTATGTGTGTGTGCGTAGGCCCATGACCTTCCAACAGACCTGGAAAGCAAAGTATCAGTGCACTGGCCATAAACTGTCATCCAATGATATGCATTAGACTTTATGTGACCAAAATAAGGAATAGTCTTGTGTGACCAAGTTTTTTTAACCCTGGTTTTCCTCCAGTTACCTTTTCAGTACATGCCAAGATGCTTGTTTTAATATCCCAACAATGCTCTTTTATGAGGCAGGAGAAAGTGAAAGAGAGTAATACAGCTCTCAGGCTGTTCATGTAGAATTTAATCTCCCTTGCTTTGCTTGTTGAGTGCCCTGAAACCCAAAGCAGATCATGTATTACTGTGTTCTCATCCTTGTGACACAGAGGATCTCATGCCCTCGACAAAATACCTCAGCAGACATTATTTTATCATTTCATTATGTAAGAGGTGAATCACTGTATTTTGTATCTTCAGCTTTTTTTCTGAAGGTCTTTTTGGTCATTTGATTTTAACTTTTGAAGGGAAAGGGCAACAAGTAGTTCCAACAATACAGCTTTTCCTAGTTATCTCAGGCATTGTTTTTCTGAGGGTTCAGCTTTTGAGTTGGAGCACTTGCAGTTGGACTGGAGACCCTCCAAAAGACATGCAAACCCCTCAAAAACAGATATATAATCACAGAATGGTTGGGGTTGGAAGGGACTTCTGGAGATCATCTAGTCCAGATGACCTCTAGCCCCCAGGATTCACATTCCCAAGCAGTCCTCCTTTGTTTGTCAGCACAAGGTCCAGCAGCACACCTCTACTCCTTGGCTCCTCTACCACCTGTGTCAAAAAGTTATCATCAGTGCTCTGTAGGAACCTCCTGTACTGTGTGTGCTCAGCTGTGTTGTCTTTCCAGCAGAGATCAGGGTGAATTGAGACTTTGAGATTGGCACATCTTGTAAGAAAAATATTGACTGCTTTCTAATCTGTTGCAAGATCCCTACAGGCCAGAAGGATCCATACAGCCAGGGTCCATGTTCTCCTTGTCCTTAAGATGTCTGTTTGCACTGCAAGCTGCGAGAAGACAGAACAGCTGTATGGACAAGAATAGCTGTATGGACAAGAACAGCTGATTTCTAGTTTAATCCTGTTGTCACAGGTAAGAAGGAACATGGTGCTAGGAAACAGGCCTGAGTCTTTACTAGCACTTCTGTGTTTCATTTGTGCTCATCTTGGAGACAATATCCATGAGACCACAAAACCAATAGAAAGGAAAGGTGGGAAATGCATCCCATGTCATCACTTAAAATTATGCAATAGGAAGATGCAGAAAAGTTCCTCATTTCCCACCCAAAGTAAAAGAAAACACTGCCAAAAATTAACAAAATGTGTGCAAAACAAGTCCTCACCTCTGCAGATTCCACATTTGGCTTCAGGCAAATAAGGTTGCCTTCCACTGTCAAGTGGCTTAGCTTGCAACAAAATTGCAGGTACTGCATCTGGTCGATGTCCTCAATATTGTTCCCTTTCAGGTCCAAAACTTCAAGGTGATCCAGCCAGGCCAGCTGACTCAGGTCAGAGATATTGTTAGAGGCTATGTAGAGTTCCTCGGGAGAAGTAAACAGAATGAATATGTAAACCACAAGCTTGCACAAGTAACAGTCAAGCTTTGCAAAATGTTTCCTAATATTTGAAGTACTAGATGTCACAAGATGGAGTTAGCATGGAAGTGAACATTCCTCAAGTCTGTCCATTGCCACTTTAAATAACTAGGGCTAATATGTCAATGAATGCTATGCTGCATCAGGCATCTTGAGAGTCAAACCTCGATGTTACACCTCGTTAAAAATCAAAGCTATATTGTAGCATCTTTTAAACTAACACATGCAATTCAAGGCATCAGACCAATGCCATTTGGAACAGGTAGTCCAGGGACATGGTGGCTGCCCTGACCCTGGCAGTGTTCAAGGTCAGGCTGGATAAGGCCTTGAGCAACCTGATCTAGTGAGGAATTGCTCCTGCCCATGGCAGGGGGGTGGGACTGGATGATCTGTAAGGTCCATTCCAACCGTTAAATTCTATGATTCTATGATTTAGAAAAACAAAGGGTGAGAAGAGAACAAAGACTACAAGTAAAGAATATCAACTGAAGATAGCATTGAGATTGTCATTTGGCAGGACACGTCTATACTTACTTTTAGAGAGCTGAAGGAACAGATTCCATCTAAATCTGAGAGCCCACAGTGAACCATCCACAGGACACGGAGATGGGACAATGAGGTTCCAAGATCCCTTATAAAAAAACCAAATCAAGCTATATTTGAATGAATGAAGAAACTCGAGACTTGCTCTCTTTTCACTAAGACTAGGCCACTGCTACTGCCTTCAAATCTCACATTGTTTACAAGAGATTAAAAATGTTCACCTTCAAAGGTGGGGAATAAAATTACACCCCTCTCTACCTCTCTCTCTCTCCCACAGACATCTTTGTTGTTGTATGACAACATGTCACCTGAGTTCAGTTTGACTAAGATTATTCCAAGAACTACATCATGGTAATTCTGCCATAAATCACAGGCAACTGCTAAGAATTAAGTGAGGTTTTCTTATGCTGGCATCATTTGCTCTACACACATAACCCAAATTAACATATCTGAGCTGACTGCACTGTCATCTCACTCTGCCCTCTTATAAAGTTACCTTTCTTCTGACTGGGGAAAGAATAGCTCTCTTGCTAAGTAACATATTTTGAACCAGCAGAAAATCATAATCCTTTCCATCCTGTTTTATCATCCTTTAGGTGTAGCAAAATATAAATAAGGGATCATGCATATGAATTCTAAACTTTCTGGTCCTAACCCAGAAAACCACACACTGACCTGCTTAACACTATGTATATGTAACGTCCCACTGACAACATGAAGACAATACAGAAAGACTGGCAAATCAAACTGGGGCTCAACCACATTCCATCTTTGGTAACATAAAGTTGCATAAAGCCACTTCTCTAATATAAACAAAATACAAGGCTTTATCAAATTCCAAACCAACCAAAAGCTCAGAATTCTCTACAGTAACCATGACATTAGGCTATCTGCATAATAAAGAACTAAACAGTGGGGAACAAAATAGAGGGACAGTTTATCAGAGGAGGTGGAGACTAGCTTGGAGTTCACAGAACCACAGCAATGGCTGAGGTTGGAAGGGGCCCTGTGAAGTCATCTTGTCCAACATCCATGCTCAGGCAGGGCAGGTTGCTCAGGTCCATGTCCCACACGACATCCTTGTTTCTAAACTGGAGAGCCATGAAGATGCACCGGGTGGAGCACTCGGTGGATGAAGAACTGACTGGATGGTCACACACAGAGAGCTGTGGTCAGCGACTCGTCTACGTGAAGGCCAGTGAGGAGTGGTGTCCCTCAGGGGTCAGTGCTGGGGCTGATACTGTTCAACATCTTTGTCGGTGACATGGACAGTGGATTGAGTGCACCCTCAGCAAGTTCACTGATGACACCAAGTGTGTGGGGCAGTCACAGCTGGAGGGAAGGGATGTGCCATCCAGAGGGACATTGACAGGCTTAAGAGGTGGAACAATGCAAACCTCATGAAGTTTAACAAAATGAAGGGCAAGGTCCTACATCTGGGCCGTGGCAATCCCAGGCACAGCTACAGGTTGGGTGGGGAAGTAATTGAAATGAGCAGTGAGGAGAAAGACTTGGGAGTGACAGGGAGTGAGAAGCTCAGCATGAGCTGCACTAGCAGCCTAGAAAGCCAATGGAAGTCTGGGCTGCATCCAAAGGAGTGTGGGCAGCAGGTCAAAAGAGGTGATTGCCTCCCTCTGCTCTTGCGAGACCCACCTGGAATATTGCACACAGTTCTGGTGCTGTCAACACAAGAAGGACATGGAACTGTTGGAGCAAGTCCAGAGGAGGCCACAAAGCTGATAAGAGGACTGGAGCATTTTCCCTAAGAAGACAGGCTGAGGGAGTTGGGGCTGTTCAGCCTGGAGAAGACTGCATGGAGACCTCAGAGCAGCCTTTCAACATCTGAAGGACTTACAAGGGAGATGGAGAGGGACTCTGTATTAGGAACTGCAATGATAGGGGTAATGGGTTGAAACTGAAGGAGGGAAAGTCTAGGATGGATGTGAGAAAAAGGTTTTTTACTCTAAGGGTGATGAGACATTGGCACAGGTTGCCCAGGGATGTGGTGGCTGCCTCAACCCTGGCAGTGTTCAAGGCCAGGCTGGATAAAGCCTTGAGCAACCTGATCTAGTGAGGAGGTGTCCCTGCCCAGGGCAGGGCAGGTTGGGACTAGATGATCTGTAAGTTGCATTCCAACTCCTGAACTCTATGATTCTATGATTCTATGAAATAGCTAAAATAGTTTTTAAATAGAGATTCTTGGAGTTCATAACTGGGGATTGCTATCTTTTATAATATCCATTCTTAATAATATGCATTGTTATAAATTTTCTAGGGAGAGCTGCAGAAGATAAAAGTCATGGGATCCCTTCTGATCTTGGAATAAAGGCAACAGTTCTCATACTTATGTCTTCTTTTTATGGACGACGGGGAAAACAGGAGCTTTGCATTATACTCTGACAACCTTGTGCAGCTTGGATACAGCTTTGCAGCATAATCCCTGTAGTCAAACTGCCTACTTGGGAAATACTGTGCAGCCAGTCAGTCCAAGAGGTCAGGAAGGAATGCTTTTACAAGTGGGCATAGATGTATTTCTGCCTGTGTTTTTGGCTGTTTCTCCACAATCTGAATACTTGGGATTGAATACTCCATGTCAGGAGAAAAGAGACTGCATAAGGCTGAATAAAGGACAGATGCATGGAAAAATATCCTCATATGGCTCTCTCCTGTGATGTGCCAAATATAGGGTTGAACAGGAGTGAAATTGGGGATGTTCATCCCTCTGCCTTCTAGGGACTGGTTTGCCCACAGGCATTGTTCAGATCTCTCTCACTTCACCAATCCTCTACCGCTGCAGGAGCCACATGCATCGGGTGCCTCTAATTATTCCTTCCCTGGATGCTGCTGATTTAAGTAAGCTCACAATGGATGCACCATACAACATGCCTATGTAACATCTTATGGCTTGTGAAGTACAATCACTGCAGCTAACTTCATGGCCAGAACAAGCAAACAAGAAAAATCTTAGTCACACGACACATCTCCTTCCACCTAAAGCTACTCCCCCTTGCAGGAGAAAACCCTCAGCTGACATAAACCACAACTCCTCAACTGAATTTTGTGCACCTAAACAGCTATACTGACACAAGGATAAAGAAAGCCACACACACACAAACTCCCTTCATGTATAAACAACACAATTCTTTCTGCAATCTTACTTTACCTTGTCCCTTAGCTATATGGGCCAAAGGGAACACTTGCCCTGGTGTCACTGCTCCTGTGACCAGAAAAAGCCTAAAAAGAGCTAAGTCTGTTACATTTCTTTCCAAGTACTCATTCAGATTCACCTGACCTGAAGGATCATAATGTCCCTGTATGTCATCACATCCCTGGTCATGCACAAGATCTTCCAGGGGCTATTTATATTGTGTATATTTCATGAATAAAACAAAAACCAGTTCTGAGGCTTCCTTAAGGAACAGATGCCTCCCAAAGTAATATTTACAGAAAATGTATTATTAGATTTGCGAGCTGCATGCCTATAATAAGAAAGAAACTCAATTAAGTTACAAAACCAGAACCCACCATCAAGCAAGGCAAACACATCCAATAAACACAAATATGGCATTAGGAAAAATGTGAAGGGATTACACTGCTCATTTCATGACCCACTTCAAGCACTGATGAGATTTTCAAATTCTGGGCTAGCTTAGGCGCACAATTTTCTTTTCTGTAAAGCACTGAGCATAGACAAAGGGAAGCAGTCACTCTCATCGTTGTGTTGTTGTAGCAATGCTTCTGATAGATGCTCTGTTTATTAGGCCAGCAAAACTGAGGTCAGTCTTAACGTGCATGTTTGCAATGCAACCCAGTGTTTGAAAACAGGGTCTTGTTATGAAAAAAATGCTTAAACAGATACTTCAGAAAAGAAAAAATATGAGAGATAATGGGAAGTGGTTTCTTATGAGTTGGCTGTCCCAAAGCTTATCTTTAACTCATGTGCTGGTTTGAGCTGAAGTGGAGTTAATTTTCTTCCCAGTGGCTGGTATGGGGCTATGTTTAGGATTTGTGCAGAGCACAGGGTTGATAATGCAGAGATGTTTTAGTTGTTGCTGAGCAGAGCTCACACAGAGCCAAGGCCTTTGCTGCTTTCCATACTGCCACACTGGCAAGGGAGTTGAGGGTGCATGGGAGACTGGGAGGAGACACAGCTGGGACAGGTGACTCAAACTCATACCATAGGACATCATGCTCAGTATATAAGGTGGTAAGAAGAAGGAGGAAGGGGGGACATCTGGAGTGATGGTGTTTGTCTTCCCAAGGAACTCTTCTGTGTGATGGGCCCTGCTCTCCTGGAAGTGCTGAACATCTGCTTGTGGAAAGCAGTGAATTAATTCCTTGTTTTGCTTTGCTTGTGTGTGCAGCTTTTGCTTTCCCTATTAAACTGTCTTTATCTCAACCCATGAGTTTTTCTAGCTTCCAATTCTCTCCCCCATCCCATTGGTGGGGGAGTGTGTGAGTGGCTGTGTGGGGCTTGATGGCTGCCTGGGGTTAAACCACAACACTCATTAAATAAAATACTAAGAAAGCATGAACTTTGTTGTGCTGTTTGGTATCACTTGGCCCAATTTTGCTCTCTATTTCAGGGAAGGGAGTTAGCAAGCCAAGGTATATCTTCACCCCTGCCCCTCAAGAAGGGCACTCTAGCTCTTATGAAGAGCAAGGGATTGCTGTCTCTCCTTCCCTGCTAATACAGAGGCAGTGAGGAGAAGAGGCAAAAGCACTTCTTCCTCTGCCCAGATCTGACAGCAGAACCAAATTCCCCTCACTGACACTGGGGTCATGCTAGCTGCTAGAGGAGCCTAAAATTCTGGGTCATGCAGTCATATTTTGGCCCTGCAGACCTTCACTCCTGCATCCATAATGAGTCATCCCCAGTCAGAGATGTTATCACAGCAAAGTACATCTGCAAATATTTTATTCAGTAACCAACAAACTAATCTTTTGGAAGCTGCATGACTCACGCTACAGCATCAGAGACAATTCCCTCGTTAATCACTACAGAGATAATTGCCCTCAAGAGCATGGCTGCTATAAGGTGAATCGGCCATGTAACTCAAAGCAAGCTGCTCCTGACAACTGCATGCA